CGTTTCTACTGTTGTAGTGACCTAGATGTTCACGCTCAAATCTATCCTGTTGCTCATCATCATCTCTGACCGAGTCCTAGTGGTTGTGCACTCACCTTCAACATTATTGTTGGACATCGGTCATAACACCTATCGGGTGCATGCGCTCAACCCATTTTCCAGTAGGTGTTTGCATTCTTGTCATATACCCGATTCAGTCACTCCCAACACCATTCATAGATGTCCCTACCATTGGTCCGACCCCCTGTTTCCCTGTCCGCTCCATCCCTCCTTCTCTGACAATGCACGAAGTGCATCTCAGCAGGACTAGCCCTGCTACCTCCGCCTGACTCCGCTCCGCTCCTCTGACACTACCCCTATATCCTCCAACACTATATCCCTACCATCCGACCCTACCTGTAGCTCCGCTCCTCCGCCCTATTGGTCCACCCGATCCTACTCCTACTCCCTCCACCATCTCCGCTTTTCCAACCCACTTGGGTCCTTCAGTTTCTCTCGTGTTGCTCCACCCGACTATTGGTCCGCCTGACTGCCTTACCGGTCGGCCCCTAGACTAGGAACCACTCAACTGGTCCTACCTCCTTTTAGTATCATAGTTCCTCCCTTCGGATCGCCAGTAATCCATATACCCAAGCTGTCATATACCTGATCCGACCGCTCTGATATTAATATCCACCCTGCTTTCCGACCACCTCCGCTCCATCCATCCTCCACTCCGTCCAATCACAGTCCGCATTCCGCTCCTATGCTTCCACTCAACTGCCCAACTGGTCCTCTTCCATAACGTCTCCATTCAACTGGAACCTCTTTCCCCTTTTAGATATATACTTTCCCCTTCAGTACATAGACCCTCACTTCTGGATCACCAGTAATTCTTCTTACCGCTTGATCACTGATCCGATGCATACATATCAATATCCACTCTGACTTATGTCTTTGCCTGTGTAAGTACTTACAAATTATATCCTTGGTACATAGCTTTACAACATAGTTATCCTGGTCACTGCCTCCTACTTAGAAGTATATAACATATCCTGTACTTAGATATTTTCCCCAGTCTTAATATTACTTGTCTTCTTGCAGTTTCTACTTGTGAGAATTCTCAGTAGGACCTTGCCTCCTCCAGACACAAGTTTCACCTTGTTGTCACCTCCGACCCTCCGCTCCGACTTAGAGCCATGCTCTAAGTCCTCTCCTTATTTCTCCGCCCCTATCAAGTATTCCCCCTCCCACATTATCCTCTGCCTTCTCCACTCCACTCCTAGTTGGCCCGCCACTAGTAGCACTTACCTCCCGACCCTCAAAGCGGACCTAAGCGGACCACTCATCCTATTGTCAGACAATGTCGGATCCGCTCCAAATTCGGGGCACATACTCAGCTAAGGGGGCAGCGCAAGAGCTGAAGCCAAGCCCCTACCCCTCCACTTCCTGAGTTGGCACGGTACCTAACACGAGCAATTATTGATCCATCGCGTACATACTGTTCTCCAAGCCCTTCCTCATATGTCTCAGTCATCTTTCTAGTAATTCTGTACACTCAGCACATAGCCTTCTGCTATGCTATGCTACTTACTTAGAGTATATAAACATGTGTACATTGGTCTGTAGATCTTTAGTCTGAATATTACCTTTCCTAAGCCCTGCTCTTCTGTCCTTTGACTTGGGCTCAACCCAAGTCAACTCCTGTTTGCCGGCCTAGGGGATTGACTCCCTAGGTCAGTCACCTTCTCCACTCATCCAACTTCCCGCACCTCTGCCACCTTTTCCGCGCGTCAGACATGTGGCTAATACTCTTGTACCTCTCTCCACCATATTTCCATCCTGTGTCAGACTTGGTCTGAGCAGTCTCCCCCGCTCTGTTCCTACTGTTAGCTCCGACTGCAGTAGCCCTCTGACTCTCCCCTATAGGGTGGATCAATCTCCACCCAATGTTCCCACACTTACCTAGTGGTCTGTCAGTCCTCCTTTGGAGGACCTCCACTCTGACATCCTGTCAGAGCTTGTAGAACTTGAGTTGGACTACAATCCTAAATTAGGGGCACGTACTCAGGTAAGGGGCGCAGCACACAAGCTGAAGCAGAGCCCCTCAGATCCAGCCTTACCCCTGAGCACAGTCTTAACAGTTCTAATGCATTGTGATAAAACTGCCGCAAATCCTTCTATACACCCGTCTGTTGTTACAACAAATATCAAACCATCATATCTTGGTGCTTGAAGTACTGATCTTGCCATTATAGCTACTTTGAGGTCTAAAAATGTGTCAGTGTGTTCTATTGTCCAATATTGATCAAGTTTGAAATCAGTCATTGTTTTATGGTATGCTGTTTTGCTATACAAGCTATTCAATGGGACCTTGAGTAACAGGTCCCTTAGAGGACCTTCCCATTTTGCACACACTTAACGACCTGTAAAAACCTGTAAGACCTAAAAACGATGTCAGCCCCATCATGTTTGCCAGTCTTGGCCAATCTACGATTGCTGTAAGTTTAGTTAGGTCTGGTTTTACCCCTTCTTATCCGATTGTGCCTCCCACTGTGGGTACAACAAGTGTAGCAGCGAGAAATCGATCTACTACAAAGTTGGGTCTTTGCTGCCTGCTGCCTCACTTGAGAACAAGCACGTTCGACCCTAAAGGGGATTGCTACTGGGGAGTAGTAGTCTCTGTCTAAACGACCCTAATCAACCCTACCACAGGTAGGATGAGGATCCACAAAAATGCAGAACAAGTAGAACAAGTGGAACTCAAGCGGAATGAAGTGGAATGAAACAGAACAAAGTGGAACTCAAACAGATAAAATATGGAATGTACAGATTTGTTGGAACTTGAAGATCAAGTTGAAGGAAGTATATCACAAGGTTAGATTGATAGATAGTGAGCATAAGTCAAAGCAGTCCTCTAGTAAGGTGAAGGAAAAGTTGGAGAAAAGTCGGAAGGTAAAAGATGGGAGGAAGTAAGTCCAGTAAGTACTTTCTGAAAACTTCTATGCTTATAGGGTACAGTATTTTCAAGGAACATGGAGATATAGGTAGTGCATTCCCAGGATGCGGAAATGAAGGCAAGCAGTGCACATGGGCAGAATACTGCACAATAGGGGTCCATGCCATAAGGGCATGTGTCAATGTGATCCGGATAACATTAGAAGAAATGGGAAGAGAGATACAGCGTACCAATGAACCTGGAAGGATGGGGACAGGACATGCGAAGGTTGTCCAACAATGCATGCAAATATTGGATAGTGCGGGTGTGTTCCAAAAGATGCGCAGGAATGTGGAACCCATCAGATGATGCGCGAGAAATGCGGAATGCACAGAATATGCGGAACTGATGTGAGACAATACAGAAAGGACAGGGTTTTATGCCTACAGTGGGAGCATTCCCCACACCGTGACAGAAGATATTGTCAGAGGCATAGTGTTCTTAGGCCTGGCTGGTATCTTAATGGTGAGGGGGGATTTACCAGTACTTGTAGGTGCTAGAGTAGTAGAACTCAGGGCAACTGAAGAAGTGATTGGCCCTTTTGTGAGGTTGAATTTACCAATGTGGGATTTGGATCGTGTGTGTGGCTCGTTTGGCATAACACACAATGGTGGTATGAGAGAGAGGTGCAAGGGGAAATAAACACGATGCTTCTCACCCAAAGAGGAAGTGGGAACAATGTTCAAAGACGTTGACCTAAACAAGCATAATAACGCTGGTGTCACAATAAAGCTGCTAGGATGTGACTTTGTCTAGATGGTTTCTGCACTCTTGATTATGAGGGTGCAGGGCTCATAACCTGTAAAATCTAGACAGCATCACAGTCAGTCTCTAAGCCTCAGCTCATGTAATGGACTGAGGGAAGAGGCATATGTAACAAGACAAGTATATATATTGTGGTTCATATTCCTGTGGTCTAACTCCGATGTGTTGTCGTGCTGCATCACTCATGTGCTTGCTCATGCATCAACATGTAAAGACCAAATGTTACACATCCACACCTCTAGTGAGCATCACTGAATTTTCTTGTGTTTCCGCACATTGCAACCTCCTTCATGGTCACTCTCAGGCTGTGTCTGTATTTGGCTCCATGCACCTGTGTTTGTGCATTTTTTCTTGGATCCATTCAATTGAAAAAGGTCAGAGCTAATTTGGCTACCAGGCCTGCATGCTCGCTAGGGATCCGCACGGGTGAACCCCCGGGTGTCGGCAGGTCAACCCCCACCCCCACCCCGAGGTAAACCCACACCCGCAGCAAGGGTATGGGTTGCACAGTGGGTAGCGAAGTAAGGACCCGGGGTACAACCCATCAAGGGTGTACCCGCGGGTTACAGATACTATAGGGTAAATCTACGACACGGTGTATGACAGCTACTCGACGATGATAATCCGATCCCACCCATCATCGAGCTCCTCTTCATCACCTTCGACGTCAGGCAAAGAACTGATGTTGACGATGTCATCGGTCTTGACCAGGTTGAGTTTGCTCCAAATACTGAGGCACAGCAGTGTGCGCGTCAATTGTGCAGATAAGCGTGAGCGAACATGTGAGAGTAAGAGCCATCCTCGGCTGAATAGTCATTCAACGTCGACTGATGTGGCTGTTGATGTTATTAGCTGTAGTATATGTGAGTTCAATTTTAAAAAAACTCACCAGGAATGGTAAGGTAGTCCAATGCCATCCATGATAGACGAGGGTAGGTGGTACGACGTTCATGCCACCATGCAAGTGCATCAGGAACATTTTCAATGTCAGAGGTGAGATAGCGCTCGAGCTCATCATGGAGATCAGTCGATTTTGGCGGAGCAAGGGCGGGCATGTCATCAAATATGTTTTTCATCTAGAATAGAATCAGTAGTCAGTAGTTGCAGTTAAAAAAAGACGTACCTTATCTGATCCCTCTGTGGGTAACTCTAAAGTCTCCATGTCCAAGTTGTCGTCTTGAAGGTCGCCATCCAAGGCTGAATAAAGGGTAAATTGGTCACGGACAAGCTTTTCAGCTGTTGTGACCCAGTCGTCCTCCCATCGAGCGTTCCTGAAGTATACGAGCTTGTGACGCAGGTGTAGTACTATAGTATATGTGTGAATGTGAGCCGTCAGAACAGAGACAAAAAAGAACAAACCCATGGCGATGTGATAGACTTCGGATTGATCTGTAAGTTGATAGTACCGGTTAAGTGTTACCTTTGCCAGCTGAACAGCTGAGCGGATTGAAGGGTGATACTGTCTGTTGTGGGAGTATGTAGTGAGCTTTTCATCAATGAGATCCATGGCCGGAATCACAGTGGCTAGATTAGGTGTCGAGTGGGAGAAAAATAGTGTTGCATCCTTTAGAATCTACATAGACCAAAATTAGTCAATGTGTTGTTCGGATGTATCCGGTACTTACCTTGAGAACACCCCTCAGCTGTTTGGCAATTGCCCACTCCTCATTATTCAGCTCAAACTTCCACAGACCGAGATCTTGACGTTGAGTCACAATATCAATGGCCTCCCGATGCTCAATCGCATAATCCAACATATCGAATGTGGAGTTCCAGCGGGTCGAAACATCGCGTGGCATGAGAGTAATGGGCGCCTGCAAGTCTTCAAGAATCTTACGCCATGCTGGGAGGACTATAGTCGTCGAATGTATAACTTTGTAGGCCAGTTTACGAAGCTAGAAGAGAGATTAGACTTGAAGGTGCGTGTTGGTTTCTTTTTGTTCTTACCTTCACAAGGGCTAACTTCACAGGAAGAATACTTTTTTCCAGCACGAGTTGTTCGTCAGGATCGAGCTCTCCAACTTCATCAACCCAACCGTCATCATTGTCCCTACCATCGTCATCCCCAACACCATATTCAGCAATCATCACTGCATCCTCCCCATCAATCCCCTCGCTCAATACCTCGAGCTCCACACTGTCATTGCTATTCTCAGGCTCATCCAAGGCTTTGTGGGCCTCTTTCTTGGTTACATCAAACTCGCAAATGAGCAATTTCGCTACGAGGTTTACCATATGGAGAAAACACCGTGTATGGCTTGCAGCCCCCCCAAATGCCGGTACCTCAGCTGCAAGGTTCTCAACCATGACATTGTTGTTGGAGGCGTTATTGCATGTCACGCTCAAAATCTGGACCGCACAGTATCAATTTGTAAGTTGTTGTGTCTCTTTTAAAATTTACCTTGTCTGAAATGCCAAATTCCTCTAGCATCTTTGCAAACACGTTTGCCAGCTCTTCGCCCGTGTGTGACTAACATAGTATTAGCTGCTGTGGATCTATCAAGGTAAGTTTCTCACCTTAGCTACTTCAATGATATCTAATGGTAGGCTTAGCGGTATGCCATTGTGCTCGAGGTGCACCGAGAACGCAACGAACGCTCGATGGTTCGGTGAACTCCAAGCGTCCGTTGTAAAATTGATCTTGCCATCATATTCCTGGTGAGGTTTTTTTACGTGAATATTTCAAAGTGCATGATTTGAACTAACCTGTAACATCTTAGCAACTCGTTGACGAGTCCGAGCGAACACAAGTCGAACATCACGTGAAATTGTGGATGGCGAAGGTATGTAATACTCTGGCCTTCCAGTCTTCATCAATGACTGAAATCCTCGATCCTTGACTATCTCGAATGGACGCAGACTCTCTGATACCCAACGCACTATTTCTGCCCTGGAAGAAGACAATTTAGGCTTAGGTATCAATAACAACAACAAGACCTCACCTCGTTTCTCCGCGCGTGTGTTGACAGTGCGAGTAAGTTACTTTTCCCTTTCCCTTATGTTCGAAGGATGCCATGATTGACCCATTCTTTAGGATACCTCCGACAATTTTTGTTCACACTTCATTCGCATCTTTGGCATCATCAGCAGCATCGAGTGTATCTTCCCCCCAACAAGATTTGACATGTTTGCACATGTTCCCCGTCGATCAGGCATCCTTTTTGTCCAAGAACTGTCGGATTGTGGCCTTACACCCTTTTGCATGGCACTTGAATTCGTGTGCACGTCGACCACCAACTTCAGTGATGCGGGGAGTTGGGTCAAAGAATGCATAAACAGGTGATACCCATTCTTTCATGAGCCTCTCTGTTGCTAATTAGCGGTGCTATGTTTGTATAGCAGGAACATACTTCGCTCGTCCTCAGCACTCTCTGGACCTGAAGCCTCGTTACCAGCCTCGCATCCGCTTTTCTCACTCTCCTCATCAATGACAATGGCATTGTCATACAACGCTTTTTCCTCTTCCTCAGTGCGAACAATGGCACGGCGAATTGCACGCAGCTCCACCGCTGTTCCTACATCAGGTGGAGGTGAAGAGGCCTCAGCAACTGGCCTATCTTTGGATGTACCAATGACCGGTCTATCTTTGGATATATCAGTGGGAGGGTTTTGTTTTGCCTTCTTCGAGTTCTTGGAGACCACACTTGCGCCCTTCGCATCAATCTTGCGCTTCTTTGATGGGCCGGTAGCTTCAAGTCTCTCTTCAAGTGCCGCTTTGGCCTTGTCCGTGAGCTTTGTGACCCGTCTTGCAGCTGTGGTGAATATATTTGGTTGCATGGTTGGATGCGAGCTAGGAGTCTAGGACAGGTGTGCTTAGGATGATGGGATGGAAGATTTTTCGACAGTTGTGGCTTCTTTAAGGTTTTGTTTTGTTTTGGCGTAGGTACTAGTACATATGTAGCAGAGTTCTCAATTACGTAGCAATATATTGTGTTTGGATGGTCTAACCCGTGCATGGGTATGGGTAAGGGTATGGGTGCCGTGAAAGGCAACCCCCACCCGTACCCCAGGTGTACCCTTACCCGTGACCCGTACGGGTTACCCATACCCGTGCAGTTGCCTAATGCTCGCAAATTGGTCTTTCCTTGACAATGCAAAACATTCCCATGTGAAAGTGGTCAGCAATTTTACACTGATTATTGTGATGCTCAACAATATATTGCTTTAAATACCAATCTCATCTGTTTACAGGTTCACTGATGTCAATTTAACAGTAATACATCAATAATTTCCACATAATTTGGTTCTCCGTACCGTGAATTTTATTTTGTATTGCTTGACATGTTTGCAATCCCTATAATGTACGCTATCTACTTTTCTACCTACCTAAGTGACCGCCGAGTGCTGTGGAACTCGCTGAAGTACCGCAGCATAGACTTCCCCCGCTAGTTAGTAACAAACGTTACTAATTAGAGCCAGTTCGTCAACGAGATGTTGATGAACATCTGGCAAAATAACATCACGTGCGAAGGTTGTCGGCTTGGGCCGTCCCGAGGGTCGGAACTTGAACATACTATCTAGCCATCGCAGTACTAGTACAATGTATGTACTGTATATTCCTGACAATGGACGCTCTACCAGCAGTCCCTGCTCCCATCGACCTTCGATTGGATGTCCCGCTATTCATGCCCCATCGTCCCGAAGTTCAGCAACGTCTCATACGATACACGATCTTTTTGATCAGCATCTTGATTAGCGCTACAACTAGTATCTTACACTCAATCTATCCAAAAGATCCAGAACCATATCACAGATCTGCTCTCTCGGGAGAAGCGTGGGTCATAGAACTATTAACTGGTCACCCCGAGCGTATACGATGCGAGCTTGGTGTACATGCGCATGTGTTCGCAGAACTCATCTCAGAGATTCGTACCCTTGGGCACACGGACTCCAAGTTCGTCTCGCTAGAGGAACAACTAGCAATTTTCCTCTACGCAGTAGTCATGGGCTTACCTATCAGACACACCAGTGAAAGATTTCAACGCTCAAATGAGACTATATCTCGGTGAGGGTAATATTTTTAATTGCACGCTATATCTCATTGTACATAGTTATTTTCGCAGGATGCTCTTTATCTTTTCGTCCCCCCCCTTCTATTCAAAATATGTTCGCTTGCCGGATGCATCTATCCCATGCAAAATTCGCAAGAACCCCAAGTTCTGGCCATTTTTCAAGGATACCGTTGGGGCCATTGACGGAAGCCATATTCACGCGTCACCTCAGGCATTTGAACGCGGGCCTTATCATAATCGCAAGGGATCTGTATCTCAAAATTGCCTCTTTGCTTGTGACTTCGGGATGAACTTTACATACGCGCTTACTGGCTGGGAAGGGTTGGCCACAGATGCCCGTGCTCATGACCTTTGCATACCTCCAGGAAAGTACTTTCTCGCAGATGCTGGCTTTCCTCTACGGCCTGAGTTACTTGTACCATATTGTGGTGTCCGCTACCACCTCGTGGAATGGGGCCGTGCGAGCACAAGGTGAGATTTTTTTTTTCAGCCGCTGGAGCATACTCATTTTTGCCTACAGACCAGCTAACAAAAAAGAACTATTCAACTTGCGTCATGCGTCAGCACACAACGTCATTGAACGCATCTTTGGCGTCTTGAAACGGTGCTTCCGCATTCTCCTTCTATCGCCGTCATATGCTATGGAGATTCAGGCACAGATCCCCACCGCTTTGTGCAGCCTACATAACTTTATCCGTTTCCATGACCCTACAGAAGGCCCCATCCCTGTTGATGCAGACAATGACCTTGGTGATGTGCGCACTGGAGACTGGGAGCAACTGGCGGTAGCAGATGACCATGAACCTGCTGATGCAGATGTTCATGCATCTCGTGATCACATTGCGGAGCAGATGTGGTTAGATTATCAGCGAGTTTTGCAAGAAAGAAGTGTTCTTGAAGGTGGTTCGGACGATGATCTATCAGACCAGGCTTTATTGGAGGATGAGGAGGATGGATTGGGTCGGTTCTAGAATAGACGACATCAAGTACATGTAACTGGCACTTGCGCGAAATCGATTGCATTGATACGAGCGACATGATATGAGCGGCATGATACGAGCGTACGAGCGACATGATATGAGAGCGGTACATGATATAGGAACTACATGGTGTTACGAGTATGAGACATGTTAAACACAACACGAGCGGTACATGATATCTACGGCTTTCGCCATGAGCAAGGTGATATATTGAGAACGTGTCTCAAAGTCCCCATCAAGCGAAATGTAAGCAGCAAGAGTATTCTCATTTCCCTGACAGGCCGAAGATCTGCATCAACGTCGCTCTCTCCGTGACCTGACAGATGTCCATCTTGGATACGCATAATCTCCAAGGCACGGGTCATGGTGTTTGTGCTGGTGTTGAGTGATGGTGCAGAAGACGTGGATGGGGTAGTCAATGACTTCTCAAGAACATCAGTCAGGCGGTTGATTGCACCCTGCATACCCATGACAGCAGCTGCAGGGGTGATCTTGGCTGCCCTGGCAGCACTGCTCATGAGTTCCTGACCACTGTGTCTGGACGCATGGGCCTTCTTTATGGCTGGTTGTGCAGATGACACCAGGGTCGAGGAAAGCGGGAGGGACGATAGCTGGGGACTGTCAGAGTAACTAGTTGGAGCAGCCGTGGAGGCATAAGATGTTGAGTCAGTAGAGTCGAATAGAAAAGTGTTGGTGTGCAAGCGCTTGTTGCCGGAGGACTGAGAGGTTGTAGTAACAGTGGAAAGAGGAGGTTCATGGACGATGGTGCTAGGTGGGAATATGACGTCATCACTTGCATGTGGGGCAGCAGCTGACAGCAGTCCCCAATGGGACCCATGCTGGCAGCTGTTAGAATAATATGCCCTGTTTCTTCGGCTTCAAGTGCATTGGCTGACGAGGTGGGGGGTGGACCTGCAGAGGTAGGGTAGAAGGCATGCCTTCCACGAGCGCTGCTGTTCGTCCCTAAGATCTCCAACATCTTGTCGTAGAACACCCAGCCCTTGTTCCGGAAGGGACGCACCGAAGCATGACACTATTGTAATCAGTCCCTGTATATGAGACACTGTACAATAATGATAGCTTACCTGCTGATCAACGTAGGCCTTCCACACAACTCCATGAGTCTGTACCTTCAATCAATGCTCCCGTGTTGTTGTCCCAGTGACAACCTGATTGGTTGCGGTACGTCTCAATGCTAGAGAATGTTTTTTTGAGCTAAAAACAACCATCAGTTCGTAATAGATTAAGATCAAGATAACATATTACTGTTGTCCACTTAGTCCTCACCTTCTTCCCAGTCTTCAGTGGCCCCACTGATTCAAGGTTTTCATTAGCATTCAGGAAAGCTGCCCCTTTGTTGAAAGTTTCCTGTGGAAAATTTCCTCCATCACCACCCTCTGCACGATTTATGATCAGGTAGTTGAGTAGCGCGTTAATCTCGAGGTCATTCCATTGTGCCTTGTTGGCAGCCTGAACTGGTTGGGCCATGAGAACAGTTGTATAATGGGCACAGATGGCGGTAATAGTGGCTGCCCAAGTGCAGATCTGTTTACGACGTTGATCATCCAAGGGATACGAATTCATGATGATAAAATGTATAGGTGAAACATGAAGCAAGGTTCAGATTTCAAGTTCCGACCCTCGGGACGGCCCAAGCCGACAACCTTCGCACGTGATGTTATTTTGCCAGATGTTCGTCAACATCTCGTTGACGAACTGGCTCTTAGTAATAATAATGGTGACACACAGGTGCCAAGGGGGCTAAGGTGATGTCATCGCATGCTCAGGGTAATGATTTAAAAGAAGCGAGCTCGAGCCGCAGAATGGGCGATAGCCGACCCACCTGTTATCTGTTGAATGTCGTCTGGTATAATCGTCCTCTTTGTCACTGCATTCGCAGTTTACTTCTACAGCCGTCGATGCAGTAGATTGGCACTACCACCTGGGCCACGTCCAAAGTTTTTCACTGGAAATGCGCATCAACTACCCAAGCAGGAACCTTGGCGGATGTATGCCACTTGGGCGGAAAGTTATGGTGCATAGTCTCCAGTTCTCTACTTTCTGGGACACTTGCTAACCTACTTCTCATAGGGCCCATCCTCTCCTTCCGTGTACCTGGCCAGCAGTTCATAGTGCTCAGCTCCTTAAAAACAGCCACTGAATTGCTCGATTCACGCGCCACTACGTATTCCGATCGTCCAAAATTATGGATGCAAACAGAACTTGCGATGCGCAAGCTGAGCGCGTTCAGCATATCTTTCAATCACCCGTATTTCAAGACTTATCGCAAGATGTTCAAAGCAAGTCTGAGTCCCCGCAATATACAAAGCTACCAGTCGCTGCAAATCGAAGAATCTCGAGTGCTGCTTGATGGTCTGCACAAGGACCCCGAACAATTTTTTGCGCACATCAGAAGGTAAAAAAAATCGTGATTGGGTTTCTGTTCTTCGCTTCTCATCGGAGGTGCAGGAACGCGGCGGCCGTTGTCCTTAATCTCGCATATGGCTGGAAGGTCACTAAGAATGACGATTATCTCATTGGCATCTTGCAAGAAAAAATTGCCATGTCTGCCATACTGTCCCGGCCTGGCCGTTGGTTGGTCGAAGTGATCCCATCCTGTAGGCCATCCTTTCATTTTCCGAGTTATTATAAAGCTAAGCGAGCCAACCTTCTATGAGTACGTTTCGTACCATCATGGTTCCCAGGCGCAGGTTTCAAACGCGTGGCCTTCGACCTCGGGCAAAAGCGGAGTAGGATTGATACAATACCATTTGACTGGACGAAACAGCAAATAGTAAGCTTTGCTACGCAATATTGTTACTTCCTTCATCAGAAGCTCTAACAATTGTCATCGCCGCTTAGAAAAGTGGTAACTATGCTCCTTCGTTCGTCTCAGAACAGCTCCTTCCGGAGGATGGGTCCACGGTCGGCGCCGAGCAAGAAGAAATCATCAAGTGGTGCAGCCAGGGGATCTATGCCGGGGGAGCAGACACCGTAAGATTTTTTTTGCACCTTCCCTCATATGCATTGTGAAGCAATCAATGGCATGAACAGACAGTAGCAGCCACCAAGTCTTTTGTTCTAGCGATGATGCTCTATCCCGAGGTGCAGAAGCATGCGCAGGCAGAGATCGATGCTGTCGTGGGACAAGACAGATTTCCCACTTTCGAGGATAGAGAAAAGCTTCCGTACATCGCAGCGCTCATCCAAGAGATCCTCCGCTGGGCACCCGTGGCACCACAAGGTTAGGCATATTCTTTTTTTTGTAGTTTCGTTCCCGCTCACTCTCAATGACCCAGGGCTCCGCCACCGTGCGATGAAGGAAGACGTCTACAAAGGGTACCGAATTCCTAAGGGTTCCATCGTCATAGCAAACATCTTTTCCATGTCACGCGATAAAGAGACGTACCCCGACCCATTGGAGTTCAGGCCCGAGCGCTTCCTCGGACCCTCTCCCCAATTGGACCCGCACAAATTCGTCTTTGGGTTCGGGCGTCGTGTATGCCCTGGTGCGTGTCATTCGGATAACACTGTCCCGGTCGAAACTCAGATTGTAATTGAACGAGTGCCTTCTATTTCAGGAGTCCATTTTGCCGAAGCATCATTATACCTCAATATTTCTTGTACCCTTGCTGCGTTCACGATCGCCAAACTGCTCAATGAAAGAGGGGAAGAGATTACACCCCCTGCAGAGTTCGAGTGTGTTGGTCCAATTCGGTAACTCATCAGTCTATGACCCTGAAACATATTCTTACACACCCAAAGCCACCCTAAGCCATTCAAGTGCAGGTTCATCCCAAGAAACAAGGATCTGTTGGCATCTCTCTCTCAATAGCCAGCTCATCAGTCACGTTGATTATAGTGGTGTGTTCACACTTATTATAGTGCGGTACTGGCATGGCTCGGTGATTTTCATCTTCTCAAAACAAACAGCTGTAACTGTAATTCAAATTTCATGCCGTGACGGCCCGTGATAGACGGTCGTTTCTCTCGTCAACAGCCATACTTCTTAAATTACCGGGACTCCTGCGACTGGACACTGCCGTCTTATCCGGTCTCCCCTCCTGTTGTCATGTCGTTCCGTCTGCGTCTGCTGCAGTCGCTCTCATAATAAGTCATAATTTCTTATCGGTTCGTGTCCTGCCTTTAGACTGGTACGCCTCAATCGGTGGTTTCTTACCTTGCTGCTGTGTAGTGCTAAACGGTCGAACTCGATGAAGCCTCAACTTCTGGTGGTTGTACTTGCTCGACCTGTGGTGCTTAAGCTCAGTCTTTCTCAGGGCTTCTCGATGTCGTGATCACGTTTGAATATTCTGCGGTTTGATTGTAGTGTCATGCAATTCTTCGTGCTTCTGCCAATTCACTGCTAGAGTTGTCAGGGGTGAGGCCGTCGGTACGTGCCGAAGGAGGGTGTAATATTGATTGGGAGTGTACGTGCGCTAGTAGGACGCGGTGAAGCGGTGTTCCCTCTCCCAGCGCTCGGAGATGGGGGGTAGACTTTACAAGCCTTGAAACAATTACCAGCTGTATAGGCCCACCTCAAAATCGGTTACCCGAATCCACGAATCGACTTTGCAATTTGATTCTCGACGACGCGAACAGGAAATTAGGGCGCTGCGGAACGGTACCGACTCCTCTTCAATGAATCGAGGCCACTTTTCTTTCACGGTGATGATGACCTGTCCCCATGCGATTTTCCTACTCTGTATTGATGATACTTACTCGGTCGGGTTCAAATCGTGCAAGCTCGTCAGTTAACTCACTTGGATGATTTGGACACGACACGATTAGTATTTATCGACTCATCTGGTTTAGCAGTTTGCTTCCGATTGACAAAGCAAAGTGTTGATCACTTGGTCGATTCGAATAAAACGCCATTAGTACTGATCAACTCATCCATAGCACTTCCATCATCAGAGATTAACATTCACTACCCGGATATTTGAGCTGATAGATAGGTCGAGTTACATCAACGTTGATCAAGCTTATGATATCTCAGTAGCCACGGTATTCTTGGTATTTTAGGCAGCGTTCAGGACCATCCCAGCGGAATATGTCAGGCAAGAGATGATTCCGGTGGCCACTGGTAAGGTTCCAGAGTGAGTGCCGCACCCTGGGCGCTATGTAATTGTCAGTGTGGCTCCGACTCCCCTCGCTTTATTCATGTCATAGATCAACACATATATGTAGGTACAACAGCTGACTTCAGGAAGGTTACATGGATGGACAGAGCATGCACTGTCACTACTTACACGGACAGTGATTCATCCTGCAGATAGTCGGACCGTCAAAGGTAACACAGCTTCAGTTGAAGCATCCACATCAGTCTGGCCCAAATCATGTTCTTCTTTCTTTAGTCGGTCAGTCATCTCCTGCAACCTGTCCAGGATGGAAGGACATCATTTGTGTCTGTTCTGAAATGCGATAATGCAATAAATAACTTCAGCGACCCAATGATGAATATATAGTATAAAGATGGGGCGTATAGCGCCTGGTACAATAATGTTCGATGTAGTGAGACCATTGTCTGTCTCGTCCTCCGAAAACAGGATCGGCGACCTAGCTGAACGCAGACGGAAAGGTTGCATAGAATTGAACATGACCAATTTACAATTGAAAGAAACCCCCCGAGAGCGGTTGGCCATTCTTTCTTCCCATTATGTCAGATTGAACGATCTCCGACTCCTGCATGGTGAGCATAGTCATCGGTTCCCTGCTGGAGTCGACGTCTCGGACACCTCGCCCTCTAAAGCGAATGCTCCTCATTTGCGCAGGTTGCTCGGTGGGGGGCCTGCCGCCTACGTTGAAATGCACTTGCAGGATAATGAGGCAGAATATGATTCCCTGAAGAAAAATCTTACGAGCCGTTTATGTCCAAGCCAAATCAGCTTACCACAGTAGGAATGATAACGCCCAAAATAATGTATTGGCCATTGGATCCGATCAAGAATGTTGAAAGGAGTGCAAGGACACACATGGTATATAAAGGGCCGCTCTCAATGATGACAATGAAGACGGGTAAAAAAGTGCCAAGCCCTCCTGGTATGACACGGCTATTGCGATAGATGCGCCAGGCAATCAAAGCTGCGTTGTTCTGGTCATCAGGTGGCTGCAGATCTGGTGCAATAGACGTACTGGTACAGGTGGCGCTGGTAAACATGGTCAATGTATAGAAAGTGGCGATACACCCAGAAGTAGCAGCGGAGATATTGGACAGCAGACTGGTTCGAGAGAAGGGCCAAACAACATAGTACCCAAGGGCTGAAAAATGACATGGGATGAGATGGTCAAATAACGCCTATCAGAATACTCACCCGCAGTGGCTGACAGCACGATACAACCAGGAATGGCAATGAAGCGGCTTCTGTTATTGAGCGCGTAAACTCGCCAGATCTAATACCCTACTTAGAGGAGAGCGAACATCTCGGGTGGTGAAACTCACAAGTACACCATCAGCAAGAATGGTTTGCGTGGCGTAAAGTGATATCAATGCAAGATTCAATGGTGAAGCAATGTCGGAATAATAGGCATTGGCACCAATCGTATCCACCTGGAATATGAATGCCTCTAACCCTCGAACAAAATCTATGATTAGATGCTGAAAGTGATCGTGTTAAACTTATTCCCCCAAGAGGATTGATTTCACTTACGGCCGTTGCGACGCAGAGCAGTAAGGTTGCCACTGGGATAAGAAGTCGCCGTTGAATGCCAGTTTTCTTAAAGAGGACGAACAATGTTAACCAGTACAAAGTGAAGAACACGCCTATTTGAAATAGTGAGATCCAGCACCATCACTCTTCTACCAGTGGGCAACGCACCGTACAATAAGGTCTCAAAAAACAAACCTAAGAATGCAGCTTTGGCCACAGATATGCTCATGGTCGGTTATGTCACTTGACCACTGAGCCAGAATCGCACAGGAGACAGGCCAACGATGTTTCTGGGTGGGGTTGAGCGCAGGAAGTGAATAAGATGAAGACCATAGATGTGTTGCTGTGCGAAGCTGTGTCCCTCAAAGCGTACTAGTAGTATGCGAAGACATTCATGATGGTGTCCTGTGTTGTTATTGGATCCATGAAGCCTATCTTATCACTGTCAGTATATTTATACCGCAGTAGTGATGTAGAATGAAATGACTTACTGCGCAGTGCGGTGAGCCTACCTGAGCGGTGAGCCTCCGCAGCTCAGCGGCTGAGGGCTCTGATCACAGCTGTTGCGTAGAATGTGAAATCTCCGCGCTACCTATTTATAGGTAGACTAAGGTATACGTGGGTTTTGTACCATAGTTTGTACCTCTTTGCCAAATTTTGATTCTGGTAGCCCGATGCAAGATCTTCGTGTCCCTCCGAGTTCGAGTCGTTTGTGGGGGTTTCGTTACTTTTCTGTCGTCAAAAACAGCAATCGAGGAATACCTAAAAAGGCAATTTATATTGCCAAGCGGCCCAAGCCTTTGAGCGTTTCTCTCTTTGTCTTTCACGGTGGAGCGGTGCAGACCAAGAGCCTGCCTGCCTCTGGGGAGGCCTGGCAATGATGATGAGCTACTCTACGACAACGCTATGCTGCTGACTCAGCTACGCAAACCATGGCAAACACCTGCCTCTCCGCCCCCTCGCTGGGGGGTGCCCCACTCCAACGGTGATGATGACCTGGCCCCTTGCGATTTTCTTACTCTGTACTTATAATACTTACTCGGTCGGGTTCCAATCACGCAAGTTCATGAGTTGACGATTTGGACACAACACGATTAGTATCGATCAACTCATCTGCACCAGCAGCTTGCTTCCGATTGACAAAGTGGTTCGTCGACCACTTTGTCGATAAAACGCCATTAGTAATAATCAACTCACCCATAGATGATAACTCACAGTGCTCTTCGTATTTTATGCAGCGTTCAGGACCATCCCGCCAGAATATCTCGGACAAGAGATGATTTCGGTCGCTACCGGTAAGGCTCCAGTATGTGTGAGTGCCGCACCTCGATCGCCTCGCTTTATTCGTTCAGCGCCTATATGCGGTACAACAACCAGCTGCCAACTTCATGAAGGCTACATGGATGGACGGAGCATGCACCATTGCTTACATGGACGCCATCAGCTTCATCTACTCTATGATACGTAACTTCATCTGTCGCTTGACCGGTTGGAAACCCACGTTCTCGGCTAACAGTTTCTCCCAACTCATCAAGCTCATTTGGAGATTTGCTTGGTCTACTTTTCTATCACGTACGTGCGCGGTCTACTTTGCCTTTGCCTCACTCACTTTCTTTCCCGCAGGCTTTTGGTGAACTTGATTGAGATGGTCTCAGTGCTCGATGCGGTCCTGTCCATCTTTACGAATGTCCTGGTTTCACGTATGCTTTCAGTTGCTTATATAGACAACACAACACTTAAGATATTGTATTTCCTTCGTATACCGCTCTACCTGGCTTCAGCGCTTGCATTCTGGAATAACGAAAGCTCAACAGGTCATACCTCTTTTCTTCCACGGGAGCATCGGTTCGGTCGACGTTGTTGGCTGTCAGGTCCGCGTAGGTATCACACAATTTCCCGATGTGCGCAACGTGAGGATCCAACCAGAAGCACCGTTTATCGAGGGCCGGTTGCGTAGGAGGATCTGCCATAGATTTCATTATGGTTATCTGTATCCTAGCTTTTGCTCAATCCATCTCTATTAATACTTGAGGACGATTTCTATCTACATACGCAACCTCGAGGATGGTTTGTTGGCCAGGTCTGAACGGTACGGCAATCGAAGGCATGCCTATATATAGCCGAGCTTTTTTCTTGACGAGCCGTCTTTCTCTCTCTTTCATGGTTCACCCCCATGCGATTTTCAAACTCTGTGTTTATAGTACTTATAATCTCGGTCGTGTTCAAGTTTGCTCAAGGAACTCACTTGGACGATTTGGACACTACACGATTAGTGTTGACATCGATCAACCCATCATCAACTCCAGCATTTTCTTCGCATTCAGATCGTGTAAGAAATTCTGCTGTTCCCACGTGTCCTTCGAATTCGTTGGAGCAGTCCACTTTCTTGGACAGTTCGAATAAAACACCATTAATTATAATGGTCAACTCATCTGCATAGCACTTCACAGTACCATCATCCCCCCCCCGAGAGGTTCACTACCTGGATATCCGAGTCTATGGGTCAAGTCACATGAGTGTCATGATATCTCATAGTACGCCTAGTATGATTAGGGTAGTATAAAAGGTTGATCGTCCATGCGATTTTCTTACTCAGTGCTTATAAGTTGTAGTACTTACTCGGCCCAGAGGTTCAGGTTGTTCAATCTTGATTCAGAGCTGACTCACTTGAGTCTGGACACGACACGATTAGTACTTAGTATTGATCAACAGCTATTACCGGTGACTTATTTTTCGATGATGCGCCCGCAGTGCCCCATCTACCTGCGCGGTAATGAACATCACGGGAGTCAAGTTAAGTCGGACTGTCAAAGTGTCCGAGTCATATGATCATCTTGTTCTGCGAAGGAACGACTGTCTTCTTTCTTCTATAGGTCTGGCTTGGGAGATTACTATGTCCGAGGGGTCACGGTGCGGCTAAGGTGAAGCAGTGTTTGAAGTCGCAGGTACTATTCACATGCTCAGGGATAATGACTTAAAATGAAGAGAGCCCAAGCGCTCAGGTTCGATAGTCGACCCACCTGTTACCTGTGCAATGTCGTTTGGCATAATCGTTCTCTTTGTCATTGCATTCGCAGTTTACTTCTACAGCCGTCAACGCAGTAGATTGCCACTACCACCTGGGCCATGTCCAAAGTTCTTCACTGGAAATGCGCATCAACTGTCCAAGAACTTCGAGCCTTGGCGGATGTATGCTACGTGGGCTGAAAGCTATGGTGCATATTCTTCAATTCTCTACTTCCTGGGAGACTTCATGACCTACTCCTCACAATAGGGCCCATCCTCTCCTTCCGTGTGCCTGGCCAGCAGTTCATAGTGCTCAGCTCTCTAAAAACAGCGACTGAATTGCTCGATTCACGTGCCACTACGTATTCCGATCGTCCAAGATTATGGATGTACACAGAACTTGCGAAGCGCAAGCTGACCGCGTTCAACATATCTTTCAATCACCCGTATTTCAAGACTTATCGCAGGATGTTCAAAGCAAGTCTGAGTCCCCGCAATATACAAAGCTACCAGTCGCTGCAAATCGAAGAATCTCGCGTGCTGCTTGATGGTCTGCACAAGGACCCTGAACAATTTATCGCTCACATCAAAAGGTAAAATATTCTCGTGGCTGGTGTTTGTTTCCTCGCTTCTCATCGGAGGTGCAGGAACGCAGCAGCTGTTGTCCTTAATCTCGCATATGGCTGGAAGGTCACGAAGAATGACGATTGTCTCATTGGCATCGTGCAAGAAGGCCTTGCCATGTCTGCCATCCTGTCCCAGCCTGGCCGTTGGTTGGTCGAAGTGATCCCATCCTGTAGGTCACCCTTTCATTTTCCGGGTTATCATAAAGCTAAGCAAGTCAACCTTCTATGAGTACGTTTCGTACCATCATGGTTCCCGGGCGCAGGTTTCAAACGCGTGGCCTTCAACCTCCGGAAGAAGCTCAGTAGGAGTGACACAATACCATTTAACTGGGTCAAACAGCAAATAGTTAGTTTCGCTACGAAATATTGTGACTTCCTTATCAGGAGCTCTAACAATTGTCATCGCCACTTAGCAAAGGGGCAGCTATACTCCTTCATTCGTCTCAGAACAGCTCCTTCCGGAGGATGGGTCCACGGTCGGCGCCCAACAAGAAGAAATCATCAAGTGGTGCAGCCAGGGAATCTATGGCGGGGGAGTAGACACCGTAAGATCTCTCAAATTTGCACTTTCACTCATATTAATCGTGAAACAATTAATGGCATGAGCAGACAGTAGCAGCCGCCACGTCTTTTGTTCTAGCGATGATGCTCTATCCCGAGGTGCAGAAGCATGCGCAGGCAGAGATCGATGTCGTCGTGGGCCAAGACAGATTTCCCACTTTTGAGGATAGAGAAAAGCTTCCGTACATCGCAGCGCTCATCCAGGAGATCCTCCGCTGGGCACCCGTGGCACCGCAAGGTTAGGCATATCATTTTTTAGTTTCATTCCCGCTCACCCTCAATAACACAGGGCTCCATCACCACGCAATGAAGGAAGATGTCTATGAAGGGTACCGAATACCCAAGGGTGCGATCGTGATAGCAAACATCTTTTCGATCTCGCGCGATAAAGACATGTATCCCGACCCACTGGAGTTCAGGCCCGAGCGGTTCATCGGTCCCTCTCCCCAGTTGGACCCACACAAATTCGTCTTTGGGTTTGGGCGTCGTGCATGCCCTGGTGCGTGTCATTTGCATAACGTTGTCCCAGTCGAGACTCCGATTGTAATTGAATGAGTGCCTTTTATTTCAGGATTTCATTTTGCAGAAGCGTCGTTATACCTCAATATTTCTTGTATCCTTGCTGCGTTCACGATCGCCAAACCGCTCGATGAGAGAGGGGAAGAGATTACCCCTCCTGCAGAGTTCGAGAGTGTTGGTCCAATTCGGTAACTGATCAGTCTATGACCCTGAAACATATTCTTACACACCCAAAGCCACCCTAAGCCATTCATGTGCAGGTTCATCCCAAGAAACGAGGATCTGTTGGCATCTCTCTCGCAATAGCCAGCTCATCAGTCGATTTGAACTAAACTCCCTGGATTACAGCTGGTCTGTTCGCAATCGATCATAGTGCGGTACTGGCATGGCTCGGTGATTTTCATTTTCTCAAACAAAAAACAGCTGTACTAGTAACTGTAATCCTGTCATACCGTGACGGCCTGTGATGGACGGTCGTATTTCTCGTCAGCAGTCATGCTTCTTAGATTAGTGGAACTCCCGCGGCTCAATACTACCCCCCAATTCATCCTTATCTCGTCTCGTCTCCTGTTGTCATTTCGCTTCGTCTGCGTCTATTTGAATAAATATGATCACCTCATCCATGCACTTCCGTCAGAGGTTAATGTTAACGTT